TGGGCAGAGGCTACGGACGTCCTTCTGAGAACAGAACAGACACCTACTAAGAGGGGATGTGTATGCGTGAGTATGAGCAGAGAGTGTGTGCGTGTGTGTGTGTGTGTGTGTGTGTATATGTGCGCGTGTGTGCGTGCGTGTGTATGAGTATGTGTGTGTCAGAGACAGAGAAAAAGACAGAGAGCCCATCCCTTTTCTGGCTCCTCAGTCTAATCTGCTTTTTCTGTTTGTCAGGTTTTCATAAAAGGTCTGGTGGGAAGCCCTAGCTGGTTTGGCTCAGTGGATAGAGTGTTGGCTTGCAGACCAAAGGGTCCCAGGTTCAATTCCGGTCAAGGACACATGCCCGGATTGTGGGTTCGATCCCAGGTAACTAATTCCAACTTATCTGCCTGCCTACTATGCGCAAGGCGCTGTGCCACACAGAACATACGAAAGTGATCTCTGGCTGGACGGGAAAGTTCTGAGGTGCAATCGAGGGGGGGTGGGGCGGGCTCGGAGGAGGGAAAGATCACATTTGCTTGGAGGGAGTGTCAGGAAAAGGAAGAGGTGGTATTTCACTCCGGGGACTGAAAAACGTCCAGCTGTGGCTCCAACAGTCAGGGACAGGGGGGAAGGGAGATCTGCATCCACCAGTTCAGAGAGGACCAGTCCCAGGGGGGACGGGAAGGAGGGAACAGATGCTAGCCCAGCCCCAAGACTTATGGCGGGGGGAGGGGGGAGGGGGGAAATCCGGCCCGCAGGCCATGTAAGGCTCAAGAAATCATTTGATCTGGTCCTGCCAAGGCATCAGGGGTGAGTTAATTAAATGTTTGACTAAATATAGCAGGCTAATTTCTTTTAATCCTCACCTGAGGATATTTTTCCATTGATTTCAGAGAGAGTGGGAGAGAGAGGGAAAGAAACATCGATGTGAGAGAAACACATAGATTGGTTGCCTCCTGCACACACCCCAACCAGGGTCCGGGCCGGGGAGGAGCCTGCAACCCAGGTACATGCTCTTGACTGGAATCGAACCCGGGACCCTGTGGTCCACAGGCTGATGCTCTATCCACTGAGCCAAACCGGCTAAAGCTAGCAGGCTAATTTTTAAGTTGATAACTTTGTATGGCCCATGAATGATGTTGCAAATATTCAAATGGCCCTTGGCAGAAAAAAGGTTCCCCACCCTTGACTTCTGGGGAAGGGGACAATGGGAAGGAGGGAGTGGAGGAAGAAGAGGGAGGGGTCTGAGGCCACTGGGATTGTAACCTGCAGGCGGATGGGAAGAATGGATGGCACCAATTATTCATAACCGCAGGGCTCAGCAGTGCGCTCAAGGATACCTGTTCTCAGTAAATGCCATCACCGTCCTCCCAACGGCTCAGGGCAAAACCTCCGGGTCATCCTCAAATCCTCTCCTCCCCACGAAACCCTTCAGTAAGCTAAGCGACTCTCCCTGCAAAACATCCCCATCACCAGCCACCTCCCTCTCCCTGCACTGCTCCCTGTTCCCCTATCTGGAAGGCTCTGTCCCCAGATGTTCCCGTGGCCACCTCCTGCCACTCAAGGGTCACCTCCTCCAAGAAGCCTTCCCTGACTACCAGTTCCCTTCCCGGTCACTCTCTCGTGTTGCCCCATTCCATTTGTTGTCTGTCTCCACACACACCTCCCCAGTCATTTCTGGCTTGTTCGTAGCTATATCCCCAACACTTACAACAGTGTCAAGTATACAGTAGATGCTCAATAAGTATTTGCTGAATTGCTTTAAATGCCATTTTAGGAGTGCAGGGTCCCCCAAGAGCTGTATTCACAGACACGTGACATTCCCTGGGCAGAGTTGCGTGTCCCAGGAGATGTGCCCCGAGACGGGGTCAGACCAAGGGCAGCCACTGCCCGTGCCTGGGGACGGCTCTGGATGGATGGGTGCCAACTGGGCACGGGAGGCAGCAAGTGGTGGCCCAAGCTGCAACAGAGGAGGAAGTCACAGCCCTGTGGGCAGACACTTCTCCGCAGCCTGAAGGTCTGAAGAGAGTTTGCAGCCTATAGTCTGATGCAATTTCCTTAGCACCAACTGCTGTCGGCAACATAACAGGTTACTTCCTCCTCCCGCAAGCAAGGAACATCAGCAGGCACAGAGCCTGGCATCTTTTTCGTCGCCTGCCGGGCAGGCCTGCAGCTGCTGCTGCTGCTGGGTCACTTAGCCAGGGATCTGAGGACGGAGGGGCAGGTCTCTGAACCAAACCCACCTGGGGCCACCTTCAGCCCCACCCATTTCCTTAGCAGCCAGGCACAACCCTCACCCCCCACCCCGGCTCCCTGCTCCCCATCCCACCCCGGTCTCTGTGGGTCCTGCCAATAGAACGCAAGTGTCCATTGGACAGACCAGAACACTGAGGCCAGGCCACACCCTCGGTGCCAAAGTCGGGCCTGGAACCCAGGTCTTCGCCCCCGGTTCAGGGCTAGCTCTGCTAGTCATTCTGAACAGTTCCTAAAATTAATAAGACATGACAAGTATGTGTGTGTCCATACATGGTAACATTCCCGGGAAACGCGCACCGAGCAAGGCAGGCGCGCAGCTAGCACGCTGGGCACTTCGCCTGGTGCCCTCCCGCCTCCGCCCCTGCCCTGAGCTCTTCAAGGGCAGGGGCACTGCCTCCCTGACCACTGTCCCCGGGGACCTGGCACTGCGCGGGTCCCCAGCACTTGGCCCAGAATTGCGCCAAATGGCAAGGATGCCAGCCTGAGCCAGGACCCTGGTCGGTATCTCCCGGGCGCCTCCTTTCCCCTCCGCACCTCTCTCCGCCCTCCCCTTCCCTGTCCAGACTGGAGTCCTGGAGGCCAGCGACCCATGACCCCATCCGAAAAGTTGCCGCGCTCCAGCCGCACATCCTCCAGCCCCACCCCCGTGCGCCCACTCACTGGTGCTGGGCCGCCAGGTGGTTGAAGACATAGGTGACCGGGATGGCCGAGAGGG